CTGCAGAACTGGTAGGGTGGTTCATAGCAGTACAACCCCTGAAGTACAACTTTTTGGGGGACTGGGGGTGGGGAAAGGTAGCTCAATTCTTCTGCAGCCTCCCTGGTGAGACTGTCAGCAAGCTTGTCACCTAGCTCCAGGTATTCTCCCCTGACCATCAGTCTTTTTGACACCGTAGATGTGGACCAGGTCTGAACAAGAGGCTTAGAGCTTCAAGATTTGGAATCTCAATCCCCATGCTTTGAGAGACTTAGAATCTCATAATAATAGTTCAAAGTATTTTTTATACATAGCCAGAAAGATCTTTTTGCATTTGATGTGTAAAGAATATTCTTCACACCTACAAACCTCACACTGGCAGATTAAAGAAAGGAAGTGGGGAGAACAGACTGCTCAGAGGGAGCCATTAAAATTTAGAGAATTTATACTGCTGTTAGGAGGAAGCGAGAATAAAATACAGGAGGATCTGTCTGAGTTTATGACAGGGCACTAATCTTTTGTTTTAAGAGCCTGAGAAGATGTCTCCTGTACCTGAATAGATTATCATTCCAATCTGATCAGTAACTCATGTCTTTAATCAGTCGTAATTCCTAGAGATGCACGATGGACTGTGTGTATACATTTCTAGACAAACAGCAAACTACAAATGTGCAGTTTTAGGACTCACCGCATCTAATTTTTTTTTGAGCGCTGTAGTTAAATCTCAGACAGACCCATCATTTATCCATACACATATTATGATAGTTGCCCACATAAATCCGGCAATGCCTAGATGGGGTTTAGCTGAATGTCTATTTGGGAGGAAATGTTTAACGTGGAGAGTGGAAAGTATCTTTTTCTAGCACACAAAGTACATTTGATACCATATTTGTCATCATACAACAACCTCTGTCTGCTTTCAGCTAGAAACAAACAATTTGGGCTCATATTGATCAAGCTGACTGTCTCGACAAAGTCTACCCCTACCACTGTTCCTATATCCTCTTTGGTATTTTCATTCCCCAAGGAGCAACTGCTACCCAAGTATTACAAATACTTGACTAATGGGTTAAGAAGGCATCTTCTGATTCCAAGAACAGGAAACCCAATTTCAGTCTGCAAGAGAATATATGACTGGTTGCCAAAAGCCACTAAAAATAACATCAGGAGATTTACAACCTTGGAGCCCTGAAAGTAAAAACAAGTAAATGAGAAACAAAAGACTCAGGTGTGGAATGCAGCCGGTCTATAGGAATCTGATTTGATTCTAAACACCTGGATCCTTTCCCTTGACTTCCTTCTGGTTCAAGACCGTGAAACTTTGCACCAAGCTGTGCTATTTTAAATGGCTTAAAACATTTTTCTGCAAAATGATCACATGCAATTAACTGCCAAGAGGACAATGGAAAGGGATTGCAGATACACAAGTCTGATCCAGGAGTAAGACAAGTTTGCAAACGTTACTGTTGTAAATGAACCCTCCCCCCGTCCCCAAACCCTCTTAACAACAACTTAGAAGGCAATTGCCGTTTTAATACTGCAAACCCAATTTCATCTGAGGGCATGGGCATGTCACAAGCTGCTACAGAATGATTTACCTCAGATTTTACTCCTTAGTAAATTCTCATTGGGCGCGTCTACACAAGTTTACTGAGGAGCTGCCTTGTTAGCTTCACAGTAAAATGTCACCCTCCATCATAAGATAGTAGGGCCAGACACAAGTACCATCCTAAGATGGCGTCATTTATGTTGCTGCAACATATGTGTAGATAGTGCTGAGACTGGCTGGAGCATGAGGGTGCTTCAGTGTGTGGGCTGCCTGCACTGAAACACCCTCGTGACCCAGTCTGTTGAGCCAAGTCGGAGCAGTCCTGGCTGGCAGGCTGAGCCCTGGGGACCACTGCCAGCTGGGCTGATCCACCCCGGCTCAACGTGCTGCAGTTCCAGGTGCACATGTGAATGTGGCACCCAGGAGCAATAAACTCTGGCATGAACTGTGCCAGAGTTTATTCAGCCACATGAATTGCACATGTAGATGTGCCCATTGTAGTAAGTGGTAGATACAACCAGTTCTTCCCAAACTGGCTCCCTGCAGTATGTGTTATAGCAACACCTGACCACTTGGTGGTAGAAAAAACAGCTGGTTTGGAGCAAAGAGCCACGTAGGAGTGGAACTAAGTACCCGTGAGGACACAGAACTGGCACATCAGAGTGGGGTACGTGGGACTGAGTTACTGCTGCCCCAAGCATGTACCAGTAAGCATGCCCAAGGCAGACAGCTTTAACAGCTTTGTGGTGTATGCTCAGGGCCAACTGGGATTTGATGGGTATAAAATGGGAGTGAGGAAGTGGGGCATGCTTTATAGGGACAGAGCTTAAAAGACACAGCACAGAGCTTACAGCTCTAAGACAGAAGGGGCTTTTAAGCCATCTTTGAGCTCCCATTCCCTGGGATCTCAGGTGCTCCAGCAGTTGGAAGCCCTGAGGTCTTGTCAAAGTCCCAGGACCCTCTTTGATTGCTGTAGGGTTGACAGCGCTGTGTGCTGCCATCCTGCCTCAGATATGCCCCTTGCAATCTCAGCTCTGGGTACCGTCGAACCTGGATTTTTCGCATCTGTGTGGTTCACAGCCTCTGAATTATGGGTGAACCACTTAGCTGTCTGCTGTAGCTTCAAAGAGTGCTGCTGCTCTGACCAGCCGGAGCATAGATGAAATCCTGTGCAGCTGACTGGAGAAGCGACACCCTCTGAAATAACCACTAGAGCACTTCAGCAGGCCCGTGCAGCTGTTTGCTTGTGGCTATGTATGCTCCAGCCTAGTTCGCAGACTTGCATCTTTGCCAGGGGCTAAGGAACACTGCCCGAGTTTCGAGGTTTTATTGTACTCTGCACCACTCCTTGCAAAGGGATCCTTGGAAGACAGTCTAAAGGTTGTCTTCCACAGAGTTTGGGCTAAAAACATCCTCCATGGGCATAACAGGTAGGTTTTAATTTTCCTTTATGCTCTTCTAGGTGTGTAACCTGGAGTGGTAGTCAGGCTTTATGCTTGCATACAGGTGAAGAGACTTTCACACTTAATTCAGCCTATGTCAACTAACCCGTCTTCATTCTGAGAGGGGAAAATGGTATTCTGTCCTTGAAACATAAGGAAAAATACTGTTACACAGCTACATGCTTAGTAGCCCACAGTAGATAGATGAGTAACAGCTTCGGATACTGCAAGTTGAATGGAAGAGGCACATTATGAAATGTGTCCATATGACAAGGTCATTTAATTTAAATGTTATGGGACTTCACTTATTGATCAATTGAGCTCTTTATCTGCTAATGTAATGACAAAATTTTTAAATCTATACATATAATTTAGATGTACTGGACAGGTTAAATATAAAATCAAACTACAAAACAAGATGCATTTCCTAGCAGAAGTATAACATGAATACTCCAGGATTTTCATTTCTCTCTTTCTCGCTGTTCTTTAAGTGCCGCAAACATCATGTACTGGCTTCTTTCCTTTGATGTGCTATCTAGTGCTTTAAATCCCAATTTTATTGCATCACTCAGCATTGTGTCAGAAACAGAACAGGAAATGAGTTTAAGGAGAGTTTGCATTCAGTGCTAGCAATACACTTAATTTCAAAATATAAAATTAGCTCATCATCAGTCTACCTGGCAATCTCTTGCTAAAATGGCCATGATAGCACTTTTCCTGGTTACTCCAGAGCTCCTCCGAGATTTAATTAAAGTTTCAAATCTATAAAAAACAGTTGAACGCGCTTCAAAGGGCCCAGAGAACATTTCTGTGGATTACCTTAAGAAGGCAGTTGGACCCTGTAAACATGGTAGGGAGTGTGCAGAGAAACAATTCACTTGGCCAGTGCATGTTACAGTCAGTACCAGTGGTGATCATCGTCACAACAAATCAGTAGCAGGCACAGAGCCCAAAGTAAATGGAAGCAATTTCAGACACACGGCATGGTTTGTGCAAAGTGAAAATATCGAAGATAGGACTCATATAACACAAGCGTTCCTTTTTCTTCTTCATACATTGAAGACTCTAGTGGAGGAGTTGACATATTTTAATTTTTGACCTTTTCTTTCACATAAAGGGTAACTTACTTTGGATTCAAAGAGTTAAATTCTTCTGTCACTTAAACTGGTTCCGCTCCATTGACTTCCATGCAGTCTCCTGGGTGTCTGAGAGCAGATGTGACAAATTTGCCTAGCTCAACATACCTAACCTAGCATAGTAGTTACTCCCAAACCTATAAACTTGCCATGCACGGAAATCCTCTTAACTTGAATAGGATTCCCAGGCAGAGAGCTGGCAGCTTTGAGACCATTCCACAAGGGCTGACACTGGAAAGTGTTGGGTCTTCAGATAAAAGCTGCTTCCAACAGTAAGTCCTACTTGTGGGGTAAATGCGAATGGAAGGCTTAAATTTTATCCTTTCAAGAACTACTGCAGTATCATGAAATATAATGGTGGGGGCCTGCTTATAGTGCTCAAAAACTAATGCAATGCAAAGCAATTCTCAGCGTAAAATCAGAAATCTTGGGGTTTTTTTAACTTTTCCTTTTTTTTGTATTATACCATTATTTACTACTAAAAATAGCACTTGTTGTCTTGGGAAATATTACCCATGTTAATAGCTTCCAAAACATCAAAGTGTTTGTTTTTCCTTTTGAGCTTCATAAAAATGCACAGAGCGACAGCATATCCAGACCACTAAAATCTCTTTTCTTCTCTGACCTTGGTGAAGCATCCCCAGTTCTTATTTTATAACCATCTCCTGATGTTGTGGCCTCTCCCAGTGACAGGATATTATTCATAAGCACATGTTAATTTTAAAAAAATACTAAGCTGTGTGGGGAAGAACTACAAACTGAATCAGAGTCCTTCAGATCGTTGGTGAAACTCTGTGAAGTTGAGACTCTACCTGCGCCTAGAAGTAAAACCATTTAGGCCATTTAGTAACATTGTTGCAACGACTGGTTAAAGCCCTAAATCCCAAGTCTTACCATCATTCCTCAGGATCAAAGGAGTCGGAGGTCCAAGCACTTTGCTATTTGTTACGGTGTTTGTCACCACGCAGGTGTAGTTGCCCACATCTGACGCCTCCACTTTAGCTATGTATAAATTCCCAGTCTCTTGAGAAACAAAACGACGATTATCTTGCTGCACAAATGATGGATATTCATTGAAGATCCATGCATAAATGAGTTCTGGAAGGGGGGGAGAAAAAAAACCCAGGGATGATCAGTGTTAACAACAATTTGGTTATTACAGTTATTTAGTGGATGGCTCTATCTTGAGACAGAACTGAAAATAAATTGCCCCCTGCCTCTTGTGGTTAGGGTAGGGGGGCTTACTCCAAATTTTTTAAGATACGAGGGTGCTTCAGAAAGCAACAGTAGTTTTGAAATAAAACCAATTTGTGCGCAGTGAGTGGAAAACTATGCAGCAGCAGGGAACATGGATGGTGGCTTTGCCAAATGCACTGATTGTTTACAGCTAGAGAAGCGACGTCAGTCAGTAAGTGATCCACTGCTCCCCAAATGGTTTTCTTCTGAACTTGCCCGTCCGTCTGAAACACCCGTAGATTTTTAAAAGGTTCCCATCTCTAGGACTGTGGAGTTAATATGGACAGAGGCTGCCCTGCCTTTCAGAGTCTGCAGGTAGCTCAAGTGTCTCATTGCTTTTCCAAACTAAAACAGAAGGAAATGAACAAGAAGGTTTTTTTTTTTTAAAAGCTTATCACAACAGCATAGCCTGTTTTCCCTCATCATGAAGGTGTACTCTGGCCTTTCTTTCTTTTCAAAATAATTTATACCAGGACATGCCTAACCATGCTCTCGGACGCTGCATAATTAAATTCCGTGGGCTCTTTAATACACCAGTTTATGTAGCTATAATCCTCCATGCAATTAGCTAATACTCTAGTTGAACATAAAACATCTCTTTAAGTTATTTCACAGATTCACAGAATTTGCAACCGAAAACTTAAAAATAGTGAGAGATGCTGCAAGTGGTTGCACAGCTTATAAGATTGGTTAATAAAAGATATTTATCTAGACTAATACCCAAACACACTGAAAATGCTTGAGGAATTACAGCGAGTAAAGATCTCCGTAGCTTTGTAAATGAAACACTAATTATAGTAAAAAGCATATTCTTTGTTTAATACTCTAATGAGTCATAATTGTAATTGACCTCAACTACTGTTACGTACATTAGGAACTAGACCCTGCTCTAATGCTCTACTATTTACACACATAAGGAGGACTAAGCAGTAGACTGGTGGTGGTGGTGAGGTGTTATTTTTTAACAAAAGAATTATAAAATGTCTGCTTAGACTTTTTGGAAGATATAATAATTACCTTTATGTGGGAATATCTAATCATTGTATTTACACATGTGCATCTAATTATAAGTAACCCCATGCTGATGTCAAGAGGATACTCAGAGTAAACAAGGTAGCACTTCTCAGCAGGCTTATTATTTTTTGCAAGCATTTAGGGTTTTTTGCTTCTTTTTTTAATTTACTCTTGGTGAACAATTAACTTGTTTCCCTCTAGAAGCATCCAACAATAGACAAATAAACATTTCTGCTTCAGAATGCAAAGCGAGGCTTTTAGCTTTGTGTGAATCTCCATAGACCAGATGCCCCTGCTAAAAATTGGGAAAAACCCCAACAACCTCTAGCACCACAGTGTTATGCAGTGACTACCGGCATGCTGAATTAATAATCCATTCCACAACGTGTGTGGCTTCAATTCAGTGGCCATTTTGAATAAGTTGAGTGCAAGAGTACAGAAAGCAAAGTGGAGGTTCAGAGGAACAGATGTGCTTGTATGGTCAGGGGCCTGCAGGCTAATCCCTACGAGGAGAGATTGAGGGACCTGGTTCTCTTCAGCCTCTGCAAGAGAAGGCTGAGAGGCAATCTTGTGACTGCCTACAAATTCATTTGGTGGGGTGGGGGCAGCAAGGAATAGGAGATGCTCTGTTTACCAGGGCACCCCTTGGAATAACTAGGAACAACAGCCACACACTGAGGGAGAGCAGATTTAGGTTGGACATCATGGATTACTCCTTTAGGATGAGGGGTGCCAGAATCTGGAACGGGCTTCCAAGGGCGGTGGTGCTCTCCCCTACCTTGGGGGTCTTTCAGATGAGGCTAGACATGCACCGAGCTGGGGTTGTCCAACCTGAGCACTCCTTCCTGCCCAGGGCAGGGGGTCAGACTCGATGACCTATCGAGGTCTGTTCTGACCCAAACTTTTACAAATCTATGCTGTCTACAGTAGGCTGAGCTGTGCTCCTTCTTTGGACTACCAGACTAAGAGATTCTTGGAAATGAAGAGTGATTTGGGATTTTTCTTTTTTTGCGGTTCTGCTTGAGGCCAGTAATTTTCTGAAGATGGATTTGCAGTTCTTTCAGAAGAGTCAAGATCCCTTTAAACTATCCCAGACTGAGTCCCTAAAAAAGAAGTCGCTGAAATCGCTAGCCCTCTTTGAAAACCTTGGCCTTAATAGAGATGGCTAATTAACAGCTCTGTCATTTTTATTATCCTCAAGTAACACTACAAAGAACTACAACTAAGAATGGCTTTAGCTACAAGGCATAAAACAGCCAGCTCAAGTCACCTGTGCCATGTAATACTTAAGGCAACTGAGTGAGACTATTAATGGCTCGCTCTTTTTTTCCTTCCACAATAAAATTATTTTGATTGAAGAATTATAATGAACTTAAGTATTATAGGGAACAGCACACAAATCAGACCAGGGAAGTCCTTCTCCTTGTATTGCAACATGTAAATACATACTGCACCACACTCAGCTTGATTTCCTTAGAGATCTCTGCAATATTTATGGCTTTTCAAACTTGACGGATTTCTTTTGATAAGGTTTCATGTACTAATTGCTCTGGAAGTGACAGACAGCTCACATCCCATAGGCAATTTGTAACAACCGAGTAAACAAACACTTAAAATACAGTCGGAGATAGCTTTTGGTGATTCTGGTGAGTGACTGAAACACTAATGTAAGTTATAACAAGGTGCCTACCGGAGCAAAGGATATACAGTAGCTGAGCAGATCCTGGTTTCCTTGTTATTGACTATATTATTTCTCCTTTGGGGATTTAAAATGGAGTTCTGCTTTCTAATATATGTCCTTTCTCAGGTAATTTTGGCTAACAGAAAGTGTTTCATTTGCCTTTCTGAATGACGTTGAATATTTGATGCGCTGTTTAATCATGTTGAGCCCCATTTACAACTGGTAAAGATAAGCATAAGTTCCATTGGCTTTAATTCAGTTGATACCAGCTGAGAATCTGGCCTTTTCTACATAGCATACCTTTTCCTAGGAAAATGTACTTTCCATTAAGGCCAGTGCTTTAACAGATTGCATTATAATCACACAGGCCAAGACTCTCAAAGAGGTTCCTGGCAAATTCACCCTTTGGCAAGAATTTCAATCAAGGACTGAGGAAAACAGCTACCATATCTGACATTTCAAGGCAACAACATCATAGGCTTCATATGTGGTATCCTTGTTTCACATTATTTGTCACCTAAAATCATCTCTGGCTGCAGGAGGTTAAAACAGAACCTTTTCTCACTGTGTTGACCACATTAAGAGCCCTTCCTGCACATACAAATGTATGCTGCTGACCAGCGAAAAATGATTGCTTCAAGCTTACTTTGCTATTGGCACTTTTGTTACATGCTCAGGATACTCAGTGCAATTGAAATAAGCTTATCGCACGCCAAGGCAAGGAAAGCAGATTTCCTTTTTGTCAAAGAATGAAAGTCTTTGCGCACAAGGTCACAAGATATTAGGACCTGCTCTAAGGCTCTGGAGCAACGAAGCAAAGATGACACAGATATGGAACAGCATGTTAAACTCTATAATATCCCTCGGATACAGCAAGGGAGCCCTTGGAAAACTGAAGCACAAGTGAAGAGCAGTGAAGAGAAAAGTGAGGAGCACATTATGTTAGCAAAGGGTTGGTCTGACTCTGGCTGAGATAAATGGTGAAAGAAAAGTGTAGAGACACTTTTTACAGAGATGTAAATCACAACCAGATTCAATGTGATGACAGACAAGTGCACCGTGCATGAGTATTTAAGGATGTGGTTCATTTAGCAAGCTGGAAAATTTCACCAGAAAAGGTAAATATCATAAGCTTTTAGAGCAAGTTCAGTCACACAGGAAGAGAGCGTATTTCAGAATATTTTATGTCATGGATTAGTGATGAGTAGTGGAACATGATAGACCAGAAACTTCAAGCAGAATATAAAATTCAGGGCCTCTCTACATGTGCAGGTAAAGGTGTAATGGGATCTAATGTGCGATGACCAAAGGGTGCGATTGTGGGGTTGCAATTTAGACCCCATCATACCTTATCTGTGGTGCAGGGGGAGACCAGAATCACGAGCCTGGGCTCCCCTTGCACCAGCTCCTGCGGCTACAAGCCCTGCAGTTGACGGGGCGCGCAGCAGGAGCTGTCCCCAGTGTGAGCTTTGTTGGCTGTGGGACCCACAGCAGGGGCTGCAGGGTGAATGCTGTCATGTCAGGTGCGGGACTTGCAGTGGCAGCAGTGGGGACAGCAGTGAGCCCTGCAGCTGCTGAGGCTCGCAGTGGTGGCAGCATGCTTCCCATTGAAAGCCCTACAGTTGACAAGGCTCCCAGAGGGGGCAGCACTGGGGATGCTGATGCCACTATAACAGCTGCAGGGATGGCAGTGGGTGGGCGCCCCTCTGGCTGGGAGCCCCTCAGGGGAGCACTTGGCCACACTTTCAATTAATGGCATGATTAAAACAATCTATGATGTTATTACATAATTTTTGTTGAATAAATTTGTAGATTATTGCTTGCTTCATCATGCCATGAACTGGTTCAACATGCAGCTGGGTCACAGCTTAAGGTGCGATTACTGGGTTAATCACGTGCCCTTAAGTGTAATATGTAGAGAGGGTCTCAGGCACATCTATCTAATGGACGCCACCATTATCCCTGTTGAAAGCTCCATGAAAAGTTTTGGCCTTCGTGGACTGTTTCTAATATCCTGCATTCTTAGGTGTACATGACAACACATTTCTTTTTATCACCTTCATAAACTCTTATCCTATGTGCTCTTTTCTTGGGCACAATAATTTAGCTAAGCATGAGGTTAGGCTCTGTTTAGACTGCAAAATCAGATTGCCAAAATCTGGAACAG